AAAAAAGACAAATAATTATTTTAAAAATATATATATATATAAAGATCCAATATTAAAAGTACAGAGCCGGCTATTCTCTTTTTAGGAACAAGTTAGAAAATGATCAGACCAGAGCAGAGCAAAATGGGAGTGTGTGAACAAATATCCTATGTACAGGTTTATGGTATCTAGATCATATGGTGTTCTAATAAAGGGAATAGTTTTTGTCCAGTCCTTAATTAATCAGATTAGACCGTGTTGTTAGACTTGTAAAAGTCCACCATGAGTCTCGTTTTGATAATCTAAACTGTCTAATGTGTAGAACTCGTTGAGTAATATATGCCTGTAAAAAATCACGTTGATCGGATATCGGTAGCTATGTGATCAAAACAGATTTTTGTCAACCGTTAATTTATTCACCCTCTAATTTTTTTTATACAAAACTGATTTGATCATATAGTTATCAATATCCGATTAACGTAATTTTATACAGACATATAGTGCTCGATGAGTTCTATACATTAAACGGTTCAGATTATCAAAACGGGACCAGTGGTGAGTCCCCACAGACCCAACAATATGATCTAATCCGATTAAGGACTGGACAGAAGCCAACGCCTAAATATAATGATAGTTAACATCTTGATGCATGAGAACTACTAAAGCATAATGATAATTAATATTAACTATCAACATTAATAAGAGATAGAAGAGATTAAAGATATTTTATGATTCTTATTTTAAATAAAATCTAATAAAATAGTAAAAATAATATGAGTTGAATGAAATAAAATTCTTAAAAAAAAGACTTTCAATATTTTATTTATTTATTTTTTCAATTATAATATTATAAAATATTATGCCTCTACAGAGGAGGGTTTGATGATGTTTGCACAGCCAAACAGGCCAGGCTGTCCAGCTAGGTTTTTGTTCCTCTCTTTCTTTCTTTTTTGCTCTGCCACCTTTTTGGACAATCCATAAACTCTCACTCTGTAATGGGTTTGCAACAATTTCATCCATGGAAATCTATATATAACTGTGTTCTTTCTCTCATACTGTTACTTCCCAAGAAACCTTGAAGATCTCATTAATGGCTTCTTCTTCGTCACAAGACAAAACCATCCAGGAGGAGAGAGAAGAGCTTATGGTTTCACCCACTGGTGGAATCCCAACTTCTAGAACAGCCCATTTTCTCAAACCCACAGTAGATTCCATTAGAGCTGTTCCTTCTCTTTCTTTCTCCTCCAAACCCACTATTTCTGATTTCAAGAAAACCCAGTTCCTGTGTCGGCGATACCCAGCTGAAAAATGGAAGACATGGGTGGATCGCTTGCTTCCTCTGCACCACCATACATGGAAGAAAGCAGGTATATATGAAGCAATCTTGGGTTCTACTTACAACATCCAACGACACAATGACCTGATTATGAAGCTCGCAGAGAGATGGAATGTTGAGACCAATACATTTCTGTTTCCTTTTGGTGAAGCTACTGTTTCATTGGAGGATTTGATGGTTTTGGGAGGGTACTCTGTTTTGGGTGACTCTGTTTCAATCCCTCTTGAGACCAGTGAGTTGATTGAGATTGAACATAGAATGAGGAAAGCTCACAGAGAACTGAGATTAACTGAAGCTACTAGGGGTGCCAATCCTCATCGATGGATGGATTTTTTCATGGAAAGTGGAACTGAACTCGAGCACGAAGCATTTCTTGCCTTGTGGTTGTCGAGGTATGTCCTGTTGAGCAGTATTAATTACATAAGAATGGAGGTTTTTCCTTTTGCAATTCACCTTTCCAAAGGAACACAGTTAGCCCTTGCACCAGTTGTTCTCGCTAACCTTTACAGAGATTTGAGCTCATTGAAACAATACATGATTGATTCGAACAAATTGGGAGGTTCTGTTTCAGTCTCTGAATATGATGGTTCAAGGCTTGTTCTTCGTGCGCCTTTCCAATTAGTACAGGTTTGGGCTTGGGAGAGAGGGTGATGCTATGGTACATTTAGGTGTACCATACATTTAGTTATGAACTTATATGATTTTATATCATAACCTATACCATATTAGTCATAACTATCACCATATTAACTCATAACTTAGTTATATTCAATTATTTACTTATACCATATTACTTCATAACCGGGTCATTAAAAGTGACCTGCTAAACAGGTCACTTTTATAGTTATAAGCTAAAATCATATTTCTTCATAACTATAATCAAATTGATCATAACTTAGCTATAACTACATCTCATAACCAACACCATTTTGTTCATAACTAATATCACATATTTCATAACCACATCTCATAACCAGCACCATTTTAGTCATAACTAGCATCACATATTTCATAATCATAATCACATATCTCATAACCAACACCACTTTGATCATAACAAATATCACATATCTCATAACTATTGATCACATATCTCATAACCACATCTTATAACCAATCCCCTTGAGTCATAACCAACATCACATATCTCATAACCACTAGTCACATATCTCTTAACCAACACCTCTTTGTCATAACTAATATCACATATCTCATAACCACTAATCACACATCTCATAACTACTACCCACATACATCATAACCACATCTCATAACCAATCCCTTTGAGTCATAACCAACATCACATATCTCATAACCACTAGTTACATATCTCGTAACCAACACCTTTTTGTCATGACCAATATCACATATTTCATAACCACTAATCACATATCTTATAATTAACACCTTTTTGCTCATAACCACATCACTTTAATCATAACCAACATCACATATCTCATAACCACAAGTCACATATCAGTTTCTCGATACATTTTTTTGTGTGCACGCATTTCGAGGCATCTCATTTTCATTGCATCATATCTTTTGATCTTCAAA